TCTTGTGAAGTTATATGCAATGACATGGAGAGATAAGAAGATTCTCACATTATCACATGCATAATGTGATCAAAAAAGCATATCACATACTAACAAACTTTTTTTCATTATATGTGCTGCCTGAAGATTGTGCGAAGCTTCCAGGTTTATATGTGGTCTGATAATTGTGGTAACAATGATTTATTTTGGCAAGCTCATGTGTGTATTTTCGGAATTCAGTCCCTCCAAAAAATCAGTTGAAACTAAAAAGAAATCCTAATTAAATGAAGCAAAAAGCATAAACGAGCATGATATGATAAATATGGGATATATAGGATTTTTTCAGATACTCATTCTTACTGCCAGAATAGCATCAATCCTCACCTGCGCATGGATACAAAATTCTGGCAGTAATCATTCATGTCTGCTGACTCAACCTAGGTAAAAATATCTGGGGATTATATAAATTCATACCACATTTTCTGTATTGTTCTGCATTTTTTACCTTGCATATATTGGCAATAGTTTTACTCATGGTAATAGAGGTATGCTGCAGCTGATTGGTTTTCAAAATATCACCTGACTTAGACCAATTTAAGATTCATATGGATAATGAGTCATTTGACTGATGCCTAAGACATCATCCACCGCTAAGCAGTACAGTTTTTGTTTAGCCGCTTTCTATAATAGAAATTGCCTCTCAGACATGGGCGATTGCGAAAGTCAATGTTTTTTATGTTTTCTTAATGCAATGATAAAAATGTCTGATGCAAATTAGCAATGCATGTAAAATGAAAAAGCAATAACCACATAATGTGAATGTGATAGACAAATGAAGCAATACTGATAATTATGTATCACAATAGGTGATTTTCCGTTCAACTGCGAGATCTCTCGAGTTGCATGAAAGACGCGCGCCGAACTTCTGCCGCAAAAATCAAACGATTCGATTTTGAACTTGAATTTCTTTATTTCGTAGCTCACATCGACCGGCTGATCTTCGACAGAGGAATATTGCTTTTGAATACCCTTACTTCATCGAAATTGCCCATCATCAAATGTCTACAGCACATTATTAAGCATGAAAATATCCCCAAAATACTTTTGTGTTTGTCGAATCCCATGCGATGTTTGATGCCACTACGACGCTATGACGTTTTTACATTTGATTTCACACATGATTCTCACAGTGAACGGAAAATGGTCAATTGTGATATATGTATATGTGATCCTAATATCATCCGTAGGAGGTGTGAATAGAATAGAATTTCAAAGTGCGTAAAATGCTGTACCGTACCGTATTCAACAGGGATTGTGTTAGCTTTATTGGTGTAATAAGTCCTGATGTGAAAACTGACAGTATTCTGTGTATCTTCATCACAAATTAGACCCCTCTAATATTGGGGGTATGGGAAGTGGAATTAATGCAATGAGTTAATGAAATGCTGTACTGTATGTAGGTAAATATTCTGAATGCTAGTGTGCTAATGTTTAGTCCAACTACCATAATTATACATTCTAAAACAGTA